AAGCTCTGTTTCATTAGAACTGAATGAACTTTTTGAGCGTTGCTCAACATGGATTAAAACCCTTCCAAATCTCTCAGACTGGTTATAGAGATCCTTTTTAAGGTCATTTTAAATGTGAGAAATGTATTATGCTTGCCATCTACTCGTTTGCTACTTTTTCAGTATAAAAAATGTTTTCCTTTCTCATCTTCTACATTAATTTGAGAAAGCTCAGCTTAACTGGTACAGAATCAAGAGTCCTTTTGGTGTTTTCGTAGTGATTTATGTTAATCAGAGCCATGTACATGCAGCGGATCAAGATTGAAGGGATAAGACGAGACCCTTGGTTCCGGAAAAACTACGTGCCTGTTAGAGCTAAAGCAGACGAAGTAGTGAATCTTGATGATGTCCGTGCTGTGTTCGATGACATTGAGGTAGAATCCTTGCACACTTAAGCTTTTAGTATGCTAACTAGATAAGGAGATGATCAAATTTAAGATAAATTGTATATTCTGGATATAGATCAACTGAAGCGTTTGGTCTGATACTGCATTGTTCTCCTCCATTCTAGGTTTTGATATGCTCTATCTTCAATTGTCGCAGGATGCATTTGTAAGTGAAAAATCTGAAAATAGTGACAGTGGCCCCTTGGTAATGAATGCGTTTGAGATAATAACACTATCGCAGGGATTGAATCTATCTGCCTTGTTTGACAGGCGTCAGGTACAATGATTAATTTAGTTCATGGACCAAAAATAAACCAAATCAAAGTTCGGCAGATTTTATTTCATCTCCACTTCTCCTGTTTCTTCTCTTTCTTTGTCCCGACTCTTCCTTTGAGCTTTTCATTTCTCGGATAAGGAAGGGAATCTGGTGGAGATGTAAATTGTTTCTTTAATTTTTTAGTTAGGTTAATTTCTCTCCCGCTTTTTGTCATATCTTTTTCCCCTTTTTCTTGTAGTCAGACCCAATGCTACATTATGCCAACCATTTCAAATCCAATTTTCGATCAAACATGTCCCTTTTTTTTTGTTATGAAATAAACGTGTCAGATATGATCTGGATAGCTTATAATTATAGGGAGTGAGTTGGCTAATGTTTCTACAAACTTAAAAGTGCTGACATGTATAGTACATCATCTTTTGTTAAAAAAGGTTTTGCGACCAACTTGTTATAATTAAGCACAATTGACTTTTTTTTTTGCAGGATTATGTCAAGCGTCAAACTCGATTTGTTTCCCGCCAACCTGCTAAAGTCATCATTGCAACGATTGAAGCAGCCGCAGAGTCATTGGGTCTTAAGGTCCACACACGCAATTACAAGGTAAATTTCAAAATTTCCATATAATTCAGTGACAAGTGATTCTTTTATTCAAGAAATTGAATCAGTATGAAGCAATGTTGTAAATGAATAGCCCAGTTCTCCATCTGATCAACTATGATTTCAGCAATCTTCCACCATTTTCCCACTATCTATCAACAATAATTCCCTTTTCCTTCCATACACTGAATTTCTGTCCCAATTCCTGTGCAACCAACATCAAAGAAAATGGGAATTCATCTTATTCATCTTTACCTGTTTTTTATCAGGAGGAAAATCATAACTTTGCCACATAAGATATATTTTAGTATCATGATACTCGTAGGTAGACATTGCCATTGGTTGAGGTCTTTTAAGGCTTTTGTGGTTCTAAGATCATGTTTTTAAACCACAAAACATAGCCTTGAGTGAGTTCCATTTTATTGAATGGGTGTTTATATTTTCAACTACTATGCTTATTGCAGACAAGAATTGAGGGGATAACGGCAAATAAGGCTGGTCATTTTGCTGTTGTGATGGAGGTAACTTTCAAGCTCCATAAACTAATTCAATACAAGATTGCTGTTTGTTATTATCATTTGACAACTCTTTCTTTAATTTGTAAAGGTTTTCCAAGTAGCTCCCTCCCTTTTCATGGTTGATGTTAGAAAAGCTGCTGGGGACACCCTTGAATATCACAAGGTGTGCTTCTACACTCAACTTTTGCTAGTTAGTTTTTCACTATAGCTTGTATTACAATTCTTATATTTAGTTTCTTTAAGGAACTCCATGAAGCTTGGAACTGCTTACAGGGCCCTTGTTACTGTGCTTTTGCAGTTCTATAAAACCTTCTGCACGAAAATTGACGACGTCATTTGGAAACCAAAGGATGGCATGTCAAAAGCTACTCTGCTTAGTACAATGACTCGCTGAACTGGATTTCTGGAAATGAAGAGAATCACTAAGCATTGTGATGTGTAATGAAGATGTTGGAATTTCGCTGTCTGCCTTGTCTTGCACGCTACATTCATCATCGGGTTGGTAAAGTATCTCCATGGTATCATGTGGTGAATTCCCCTACCCAATCCTCTGTACCCTCTCTAAATCTTTGTAATTGCTTTTCTAACTGTCAGTCTCGGTCTTATTGCATAGAAATAAGTGTGAACTTCCGAGATATCTTACAGTAAGATAGCAATTACATATCTCTAGTGCTGTGCAATCTGTAAATCACGGGCTCGAGCAATGGTTTTGACAACTAATTATATGCTATTAGTAAAAAGAGTATCATTTCATATTTTGTTTGCTTTTCCAACTAAGGCATTATTCTGGTTCTTATGTTGCTGCCATTATTTCTTGATTTTTATGTTGCTGGTACTGATAGTCTGATATAGTGTTTCTTTTCGTCATCTTGACCCGAGGGTCTTTCGGAAACAACCTCTCTACCCCTCGGTTAGAGGTAAGGTCTGCGTACACGCTACTCTCTCCAGACCCCACTTATGGGATTTGACTGGGTTATTGTTGCTGTTGTTGTGTTCCAACCAAGGCATCACACCCTCAAATCTTCAGCAAAGAGAAGGATGCATCATTGGTAGTGGTGTGTGGAACTGAGTGTTTGTTTACCTCCCAGGAACCAATATTGCTTCCCATAAACACTTTGTCATCCCCACAAAAGTCAAAGATGAGGAAAACAAAAGAAAATTTATCACATGACATTTTAAGGTTGAAAGTACCTAGTCTCACATCTACACTCCCACGAAAGGAGATAATAGCCTTTATCTTGTGTAGTTCCTGTTGAAAAGGACTAGTAAAAAAGATGAAGGGATCAATACTCTTTTCGAAAATGATGAATCGAAGAGAACGAGTAGTTTAAAAAAGAAGATAAAAATGGGTTTCTCCTTTGGTTCTTGTTGCCATTGACAAGAGCAAAAGAGCATTAGCGCCCGAGCGTAATAGTCAATAAAGTCGATTGAAAACCATGAGATTTCAGGTTCAAATCTCACTGGATACAAATATTAGGTGATTTCTTCTCATATATTCAAGTTTTGGTGGACAAAATTATCTAATATTCATGCTGATTAGAGGTAACAAGTACTCGTAAAATTAGTCGAGGTGTGTGTAAGCTGGCTCTAAAGGAGAAAGAGAATATATGATCATTACACTGACAGCAAATGTTGGTCCATTTGGGTAGGCAATAATGGTTGAAGCCATCATCCATTTGGGGCTATAGACTTTAGGTTGGTGAAGGATAAGGCATGTTACATAAGAAAGAAAGAAAGAAAGGCTTTTAAAACTTGTGATCGGAAATATGTTCCAAACATTTGTGTGATATAAGATTTCTGAAATTTGTGATTTTGAACATTTAATAATATTGTGTGGATATAAGATCTTCTCATTAAAAATAAAATAAAATATTTAAATTAAATTATTTTTAAATATAGAAAGTTAACATTTTTATTCTTTTTCCAAATAAGAACTTTTGACTTTACTACAAGCAAAAGGAAGAGGCAAAGTTCACAAATACTTTAAGTTAAACATATCGCTGAAATCATTGTCTGAAATGGACCTACATGTCCAGTACAATGAATCTGCATTATACGCAGATACATTGAAAGATGAAAGGGGAAACAAGAATTGTCAAGTGTCAACCACCTTCTAAAATGAAATACAAAAGTTTTGACATTTCACAAATGATAATTTCAAACATTGTGGCTGCCTGTTGCTGCCCCTCCCCTCTGCCCTTCCTGAGTCGAGGGTCTTCCGGAAACAGCCTCTCTGCCTTTTAAAGGCAGGGATAAGGTTTGAGTACATCTACCTCCCCAGACCCCACTTGTGGGAATACACTAGATATGTTGTTGTTGTTGTGGGTGCCTGTTGCAACTCTCTCATACATTCTCAAGTATTCATAACTTATATACGCCGACACTGTAAAGAATTTATTATCAGTGTATTTTAGCCAGTTCCAACAAATTATTCCTTTATTTTTCAAGTTATTAATCTCACTCTCTTATTTTTCAAGTTACTAATATCACTTAGGTGACCTAATTAGAGGCAGATAGAGCCAGGATTCAAGCTGAAAATTATGAAAATTCAATGAGTATTAAATTTTGAACCTATAATTTCAGAAGTACATTGAGTTAAGTTAAGGACGATGAATTCATCAAATTTAAATCTTAAATCTGCCGCTAGACCTGATAATGTAAGAATTCTTTTACATTATTGATGTATATACAAGATAAACTCTTTTATCATTTGCTTGATTCATATGTTGAGTTCTTTAGTTATATTGAAAAGAACTTAAGGATACCACATGCAATTGGATACAGTTCTTGATCTTGACAATTCAAAACTAAACAAACCATCCTCCTAATTGTTTGAAAAAACATAGTCAAGAAACAAGCAAAGTTTCAAATTTGATTTGGTTTAATCTTGAGACATATTTGATCTCCATTTTATACAACCATTAGCACTTACAAATAGTTCCTTGAGCGGGGTCTATCAGAAACAGCATCTCTATCCTCAAGGTAGGGGTAAGGTCTGCGTACACGCTACCCTCCCCAGACCCGACTAGTGTGATTATACTCCCGACTAGTGTGATTATACTGGACTTCTTGTTATTGTAGCACTTACAAGTAGTTCCATTCATTATATTTAGTGTTGATAGAGCATCATGTGGCTAAAATTAAAGAACTAATGAAAAAGGAACATATAACAGACAAACACAATTCATTACAAACTACCACTTTCATTATATAAAACATAGTTGCAGTGTACAAATCTGAAAATGTAGGAAACCTGCTAAAAATAGGACTGATAATCCTATCAAAAACTAGGACTTGGTAAGGAAAAAAACAACCTAGGTAGGTTGTAAGGCCAAGCCCCTGAATAACAGGCACCAAACTACAGAATTGCACAAAGCAATTAAAGCCTAATACACAAAGAAGATACTTACATGAACACTAAAGACTCTCTTAACATGATAAACTATGAAACCACTGTCTGATTCTGCAATGTAGCATACCGAGGAGGAAAATGCATGACGAATCCGTCCACAGAAGTATTAGCTGAATGATTCAAGCTGCCTAGCTTTACAAGGAACAACATGAGTGAAAATTTTGAAGTCAGTGCTCGGTGACTGTATTCTCAGGAAACCATGGCACGATAGAGGCAGTCTCCATAAAATGTGAGACCAAAAACGTCGGAAACAGGCTTAGACTTGATGAAGCCTGGAAAAAAGTGGTTTGCCATAGCCTCCCGGAAAACAACCGAGACACTGAAGTATCAGATGGCCGCGAATACACGGGCTAAAAAACAACACTCATGTGTGGTTCTGTCTCGCCAGAAGCTGAATGAACCAAATAGCCTTTCTGCTTCTTCTTTCAAACCCCTTTTTGATGCACCTTCGGTTTAGGAAAGAATATCACATCTCCACAAATCCTCCACAAGAAGCTCGACAGCGCTGCAACTAACGGAGCAACGTTGGAGATTCAAACCAAGTAGATTCTCCCCCAACTTTTTAAGAGAAGGAACGCTCTTGTTTGATACCATCAAGCAACCTGATAAGGAAAGGACCTGCAAATTCACTTGCACTCCACAGGATAAACCAGCAACACCAGAATCAGTTATTGCACACGTAGAAACATCAAGATCATTAAGTAATGGGCAATTATCTGCAATTTCCATCAAACTTGCGTCGGTAATCTTCCTGCATCCGTCAAGATTCAGCAATTCCAGGGTCTCGCCATGTTGCCTAGCCAATGAGATCGCCACTTGATCTGTCAAGTTCAGGCAGTCGCTAAGATTCACCTTAACGAGTCCTGGTTCACAGCTTTCCAAGAGTGGAAGAAGACCCGCATCCGTTATTCCACAAAGCCCACTGAGATCTAATTGATGCAGCTTGGGGCAGAGCTTACCAACCATGGCTAAGCTAGTACTCCCAAATCCTGGACAACATCGGATAGACAAGGACCGCAGAGATTCACATGGAGACAACAAGGAAGTTTGTAGAGCTAGATCCTTGATCCCCATGCACTTCACTAGGGAAAGAGACTTTAATTTCCTGCAGTTGGAAACCGCATTTAGGATACCCGTTTGGGTAATCCTGTTGCACTCCTCCAAGTGTACACTCTCAAGAGATCCAGCAGCTTTAGCCAAAGCAACCAGTCCACCGTCAGAAACAAAGCAACACTTGCGAATGCACATATGTTTCAGATTCGGGCATCCCTTTCCCACAGCTTCAAGACCAACATCTGTGGCTCCCCTGCATAAGGTGATCGTCAAAGAAACCAGAGACTGGAGACCCTGAGCATTACCCATGACCCAAAATCCCTTCTGACTCACATTTCGGAGTGAACTAAGATTAAGATTGGCAATCATCTTGCCATAGTGACCAATAACAGCAAGAGAGAAATCCGTGATGTTTAGACCCTGTAGTTTCACTTTTGTCAACATTGTAGCACCCGATGAAAGAAGACTAGCGACTCCCTGATCCCCAACAAGAGGGCAGTCCTTAATGGTAAGAGACTGTAATTTGGTGCAACATCTTCCAATAGCTTGTAATCCCTCATTTCCGATATTCGGACAAGATTCTATTGTCAAAGAAGTCAAGCTCGAGCAATTCTCTGCTATTGCAACAAGTCCCTTGTTGGAAATTGAAGGGCATTGGCTCAGATCCAACTTTTCTAATGAATGGCATTCCCTTGCAATCTCAAAGAGACCTTCATCTCCAATAGAAGGAACATTCCACAACGATAGGACCCTAAGAGAAGGGCAACCATGTGCAATTGCGGATAGACCAACATTAGTAATACCACGAACTGAGTTACTCCCACGGACAGAAAGCTTTCCTAGTCCCCCACGGCTAGAAGTTCCAACTGCAATCGCAGCAAGTCTAATATCAGTAGCTTTCTTCCCTTCCACGCACCTAGTAAGGTATCCATCACATTCTTTTTCAAGATCTTCATCTTTAGAGATCATTGTTGTGTCATTTGAATCTCCATTTACTTCCTCTACACTTGAAAGATTGTTCTGGCTCTTGCTCCTGCAAATTTCGGAGTTCCGCACGCTACTCAACAACATAAGCCAACGCTTAGAAACACAAGCTGCTGCACTCCTTTCACGGCCTCCTGGCAATCGTCTGAGGATCTCGAATAGGCATTCATCGGGAAGAATTTCAAGAGATGGATCCTTTGACCGGTCTTCAACAACAAACGGGCTACTAATGCGCACCCTCTTCCTAGGAGGGCAGTAAACTTCGGCAGAACAAAATGGTCCACCAGAATAGAACTCATCATCACCTGAAGTCCAAAGAGCAAAAAACATCATCAGCTTTCTTTTCCCTCAAATCAACATGCTATAGCATACTAAAATTTCTCTAGAAAAAGAAAAGAATTGACAAATATGCAGTCAAGCCATTTTTAAAAACTTTCATATAAATTTCGAGTATAACCAAGTTATGTCATTTGCAAAAAATGAACAGATAAACAGTTATCAGATGTGAATTGAAGCTGTAGATCTACCTAATAGATACATATTTTCAGATAAGATAGTTAAAACAATTCTAGATACAAAGATCAAAACAGTACAAATATTTATCCACAATTTTCTTCAGTAAATTACCTGTCTTTAAATATAGCTTCAGATTACAAGCCAAACAAAGAAGTTATACTTTTTTGTACTTTTTTCCTTTATTGTCTATTTCAGTAAATTAATGCTCATGTTATTTCAACAATATGCACCTATACAGATTTATAGACTCTATTCATTGTAAATAAATCATTGGTAAACCTAAAAGTTCATCCTTAATCAAGATACTGAATTGAGAACTCATTAAAAATGAGCAAATCCAGACTTAAATTACCTATCTTTAATTCTATAGATACAAAGACCAAAACAGTTAGTATTTTTTTTTTCAGTTTCTTCATTAAAATTACCATCTTTTAATATAGATTCAGTTTCCCTTTTTTGTCATTTACAGTAAATTAATGCTCATATTTATCTCAATAATCATGCACCTATACAGAGTTATAGACTATATTCATAATAATAAATACTAATCATTGGAACTAAACCTAAAAATTCATCTTTATCTAAGATACAGAATTAATTAAAAAAATTAACAATCAAGAACTTTTTTTTCAATACATAAAAAAGGAAAATGAACTCACCACTGTAATTAACAAGAGTAGGCATAGCTGCTGCTGTTCTTCAGAATAAAAAAATCCACAAAATAGAGCAAAAAAGATCAGATTTTGAACCAAGAAAAACACAACCCAGATTTGATCTTTAGCCAAAATTTGCATTCCAGTTGAAAAAATCCAATTTTTTCAAGAAAACAGCTAACCCCACCAAAAGTAGGGGAAAAAGAGAGAGAATTTAAGGTCAGATAGTGAAGAAAAAAAAAGGAAAGAATGGTTCTTTGCTTCATAATAGGTATGTGGCCATGTTATATATATAAAATAAAATTTAGAGTAGTATATATGATATGAATTTAGTTATTTTTTACAAATTAAATGTATTTGGTGAGTTCAATGAATCATTCCCTAAAACCGGTATTTCCGGTTATTCTTCAGAGCTAAGCCACTTGTGGTCGTACTGTGTACCTCAAACCAGCTAACTACCGTCCACTTACCGGATACTTATTGCATCCGTCTTTTTATTTTATTTTAAATTATTTTTTTTAGTTTCTCTCTACAAGAAAAATTTAGAAAGAGTTTAAGTTATATACACTATTCGTATAATAATAACAACAAAAAATCTAGAATTTTTCATAAGTGAGGTTTAAAGAGGGTAAAATGATGCGGTCTTACCCCTGCCCAGGAAAGACGGAGAGGTTGTTTCGTACAATAATAATAAATCAGTATAATTTTATACGTGGGGTTTTGGGGAAGGCAATTTATACCAGGCCTTATCCCTACTTTGTGAAGGTATATATGCTATTTTCAATATACCCTCGACTCATGACAAGATGAATAAGGAAGCATAAACAATAAATAGTGACAACAACAAGATCACGTGATAAAAAAATCGTAAAAGAACTAACAGGTAATACTAAAGGTCTAAGTATAAAAGAATACTAGAATAGTATTAACACAACAGGAATAGAAAAGAGATACACTCAAGACAATTTACTAACCTTCTACCCTAACCAACAAGGGTTATGATGGAGTGGTATGTACTCTTTCATCCTTAACCAGAGGTCTCGGGTTCGAGTCCCTGGGTATGAAGTCGCCTTTGTTAGGGAGCGTTTTACCCCTAATATGGGACTTCCCGGTGCGAATCCGGATTTAGTCGGGCCCCAATGTAGGTACCGGACACCGGGTGAGAAACCAAAAAAAAAAAACCTCCTACCTTAATTCTCGAGTCGAGAATCTCGACCTCCTACAAATTATGTCCTCATAATTTTTTTATGGTATATATAATTTAAACTCATTTAGAAATTAACTAATCAGATTAGAATATGGGATGTGATAAATATAACTCAAATATGGAAAAAATAACTTATGAATGTATGAGTAGTTTAAAAGGGTAACTAATTGTTATATAACTTATCCATTTGGAATGAAATCACTAAATTTAACTGATGATTCTGTTATTATTTTCTTCTAATCGTTTAATTCAAATAAATATGTTGATACAAATAATGTATGTTTGGATATTTGTTATCTATTATTATTTTAAATATAATGTTTGTTTTGTTTGTTACTTAAATTTTATTGTATCGTATTGTTAAATCCATCGTTACACAATCAGAGGCGGATCTAGGATTTCGAGAACATGGGTACACCACTAAAAAATGAGGAAAAATAATTAAGCATTGAACCAAGTGTATCGTTCAACCTTTATGGAGCATGGTTGCCAATACATAATACTGGACAAATTTTAGAAAAATCATACATAAAATACCTAATTTGACGGAGGGACCATGAGTTCACGTGCCCCGTATTGTAGGCCATAGATACGCCCCTGTACACAATGATGAAATATTTTATTTTATCTAACCGCTGATTTGGTGTGGTCGTGTCGCTACTGTTTTTTCTTCTCATTTTGTCCTTAGTTAATTATATTTTACCTTTTATCTACTCTTTTTATAATAACTCTACCTCGTATCATACTTTTTTTTATAATATTGTAAGCTTATCCTTTAAATTGTTAGCGTGTGACATCACGAAACTACAGGAAACGATATAATCTGTTCAAGTCATTAGTCATCAAAATAATACAGTACATACAATACAATACAATACGATGTTAGTAAAAATACTAAGATTACTACTTTCAACATCAGTATTAATTTGATTTATACCTTCAGCAAGGAGATCGTGAATAATCACTTGCAATTCCTGGACTTGGGTAATAACAGACTTGCTATCTACCATTTTGTAGTCCAAAAACTTTGCAGCAACGAACTTCTTCAACCCGGCATCTTCGGTTTTGTATTTCTTTTCAAGCGCAGTCCACAGTTCTTTTGACGTTTCCACGCCACTGTAGACGCTATACAAAGCATCCTCCAGCCCGCTTAGAATATAATTCCTGCACAAAAAATCTGAATGCTTCCATGCCTCAATCACGAGAAAGCGTTCAGTTTCTGGAGTTTCTTCGGGCAGCACAGGAACATCTTCCTTGATGAACTTCTGGAGACTTAGAGTAGTCAAATAGAAGAACATCTTTTGCTGCCAACGCTTGAAATCAATCCCGAAAAATTTTCTAGGTTTCTCCGCCGGTGCCAATGCTGCCGATGTTGTTCGGCTCGTTGAGGCATTGGCAATCACCGTTGGAACAGCTTGGTTCACATTATCATTAGTCATTTTTGTAAAAGAATGACATAAATGTTAAAATCACATAGATTTTAATCTCCAATAGAGTACAAAACCACAAAGGTTTTACTCTCCAAAAATAGTAAGTACAAATACAGAAGATATATTAAATTCCTTAAGCTTGTTATTAAACTGTATTTGTAAACTAATTCTGGAAAAACAAAGCAGAATAATATATAAACAGAAAACGTAAAGAGATAGAAATCAATTCGAGCCCATTGAATTCACAGTGTTTCCTTAACGAATTTAATCCCCTCCTAGTACCCAAGGTTATGGATTATTTCCTCCCAGGATAGAACGAATTACACACTAGTGTAGTGGTACTTCAAACCCCAGTGTTTCAGCGAACACAAAGTTCGGTAGCAAATCACACTTACTGTTGCTTTGTTTGATGTTAAAAGTATGCAGAAGAAGGAGGAGAAACTCAGAAAATCGTATGGAAATTCTGAGCAGAATAGTCTTGTATTTATAGCCAAAGTTGGGCTGAAATCTGAAGAGGTGCAACTCTTCAGAATGGTTGTTTATGCAAAACGGCCGCAACATAAATGCCATAACATAAATGGCTATTTACTCAACAATAAAGAGGGAAAATAAAGAGGGAAAATTGAAGAGGGTAGTTAATTTTCTGTTACCAAAACAGAAAAATGGATTGGATTTAATATTAATATTTATTTTAATATTAATATTCTGTTATTAAAACAAATATTTAATAATATTTCTGTTAATATTTTACTATTAACAAATAAATTTGGTCCAAAAAATTAATCAATCAATCGATCATTTGACCAAATCCGAATCCGAATCCATCCGAAGCCGAGCGAGCGACGACAACGATGGCGCGAGGCTTGCCTTCTTCTCAACTCTTTAAGAGCTAGAAGAAGAGCAATTGCTTATATACCCATAAAAAACCTCTTCCTCTTCCAATATGGGACAATGTCCCTTTGCCAAGGGGGGAAACTTAAAATTTTACTTAAAAATTTAATTTCCCTCCATTTCCCATTCACCCTCTTTTAAGTATTTAATATACTTAAATACATAAAACCGCAACATACGATACATAACAATTAGGTGTATACAAAGAAAACTGATAAACTGCACCAAACCGATAATCCGAGTCAAATCGGGAAAAAAAAATTCGATTATGTTTTGATTTGGTTCGGTGTTGAAAAAAAATCGACAATAATTGGTTTGGTTTGGAATAATTAAAAAAGTCAAATCGAAATAAAACCAACCCGACATTATATTGATACAATTTTTTAAAATATTTTACACATATAAATATTTATTGTAATGTCATTTATAAATATTTTTAAAACTTTTTCACAGTTTTATCTTTTAATGTATTATTTCAAGATTAGACTTAACATTCTTGAATGGTCCAATAAGTTTTATAGCCCATAAATATAGTAACTTAAATAAAGTTCAAATCAATACTAATGCTAACAAGATAAATTCAATTCAACACTAGAAATGAAAATAGTGTTGGATATCTATTTTTAGCTTTGCATTAGTTTATAATGAAGATGCATAACTTAATTTATCTTTTTCTTTAAGTTTTTAGTCATGTAATTAATAGTACTTATTAGATATACTTATTTTAGCATGACTTATATAATACTTTTAGATTATGTTTATTTTTATTATGGCTTATTAATTAACAATATTTATTTTATGCGATTTTATAATCTTTGTTACTGAAGATTTTAGTACAATGCTATGACTTATCTCATATTATAGTATTATTTTCTTGAAATATATATTATATAGTTGTATCGTACTAGGACTAAATTAAAGAAATATTTGGAGCAAAAGTTGCATATTTTGTGCTATAAAGACTTTACCGGAAAAAAATCGAAAACCTGAAAACCCCCGAAAAATCCGAGAAAACCCGAAATGGTTGGTTTGGTTTGGTTTATAGATTTAAAAACCCGACACCATTAGTTTGGTTTGGTAATTAAAAATTCCGAACCAACCGGACTTATGCACACCTCTAATAACAATCATCCAAACAAGTACTGAAAATGCAAAAATTCTTTACAAATATATATATATATATATATAATTTTTTTTTTTTTTAAATAACAAGTGTGTATATAAGTTAAATTCTGCAAGTTGCTCAACAAATAATTGGAAGTACAACTCATGAAAAAAAACTGCTACGTGGATTGACAAGTAATATATTTGTCATTATGAAGTGTTACATGCTTTTCAGTTTTTTACGAGTCTGAAAAAAACAGCTTGCATTTTGCAGTACAATGAACTTGTCCTTCAAATTCTAAAAAAGAAAAAAGAAAAAAGGACAGAAAGATAAGCAACTTGGCAAATGGGAACTTTTTTAAATTTGTCTTCTAATCAACTTTTAAGTTTTAATATAATTAACAAACTCTGGATTAATTAAGATTTGATCACGAGATGCCACTCACGTCTAGTACTCATTTTTCATTTTATGCTTTTAAATTCTTTATTAGTCACCAATTTTTGTTTGGAATTTTTTTTATCCTTTTGCTTTATCATCTGTTGAGAAGAATGAAATAGAAACCATTTTGACTATGGAAAGCAAATAACACCATTAATGATGAGTAATTAATTCTATATTATTTACGTGTAGTTTATATTCTTTTTT